ATGTTAACACGGTAATGTAGGCTTGAGTTCATTATCTGACGCTGCATATACACACCAGGAACCTGTAAACTTAAAAAATACTGAATTACAAAAAACATTTTAAAAACAAATATGTTTCATTGATATATATACAAAAATGAATATTAGGAACTATATTTATCAAACATTATACTGGGCAAGTAAAAATTGTTTCTGGGCAAATGAAATGTGAAAGTCAAATCTTTAACGTCAACCCCTGTACTGGTGTCATAAGTGGGCTAATCTCTCTAAATCTTGATGCTTGTAAATTGAAAATAAAGAGACCCAGCATTGCCACCCTGCCTAGATATTTTGTCCCTCCCATCCAACCAAAATGTAAAATCCTCTAGATCTGTCACTGGTGCACACCAGCACCAAACTAGATCTTTTGGAATCTATATTTGTATGTACTGGTGTTGAATGATGGAAAATGTTAGCTTGGTATTGCCTATCAAGCAGAGAAAGTTGGTTAAAGTAAGAATTTTTGGCGCCAAAACCTTACAGGAGGATATGAAACTTGAGAAAAAGAGTCTAGAAATGTCTACATAGACAAACAACAGGCGCCACTAATGGGCTCAATGCTGGTGATGAGGAAAAAAGCAATAGAGATGTGATTATTCGAGTAATGCTGATTAATTTGCGAGATGCATTATTTGGGTTTTGGCAGAGGAATGTCACTTTCCTGAGAGTTTTTTGTTAAAATCTGATTAAGTCTATCATGTAGACAGAGAAATTACATTTAACTCTATGGAGGGAGTTAGTTCTAACAAGGACTGTACAATTGGTGTGAAGGTACGGCTTGTTTTAGGGTGAGCAGACATCCTCTTTTTCGCGGACATGTCCTACTTTTCATACTTTAAAAAAATTTACGGACGGGGTTCTCCCCCCTCCCCAAAAAATATCCTCTGTTTCAGAATCCCAAATCTGGTCACCCTAGCTTGTTGCCTGCAGGTATCATCGTCCTTTACGCCCCTTTACAATCTACTCTATCAATCTACTCTCCTGCACTGCTTGGAAATGCGAATTCAAATTGACCTATTGAACACTTTTTGGAGAAAAAAGCAAAAAAAAGTGATTTGCTTGCAGTTTTCTCTCTTCTTTCAGTCTAACTATAAGCAGTCTTTGATTTAAAAAAAAAAATGTTTTTCTTCTTAGAAATTTTAATATTTAAATTTTACATAACAAAATTATTTTCGATTACTTTAGCAGTTTGGTTTATCTTTTGCTAATTGTTTATACAGTAAGAGTAAAAAATGCTGCTTTGATTTGAAAAGAAAATGTATTTTTGTTATTGCATATTCTTTTTCAAATATAAAGTTTCAAATTTTACTTTGATCAGTTTTGTCGGGTTCCTTTTCCAAATGAAATGTAAAAAAAAAAATTTTTCATTTAGAATTTTAATCAATTTACAAAATCAGCAATCTTATAGAAGAGAACGTCCTTACGACGATTTAGATAATTTATTCTTAATTTTATTAGTCAAGAAATACAGCATTATTTTGAAAATGAAAAAGCATTTCTATGAATAATTTTAATTAGAAAGTTGAGACACATTTGCTTCCATATTGGAATAGTTTTAAACATATAGCTTACCTGCTTCTAAGTTCACACACAAGCTGAAAAGCATCAAAAAGAGCTGAGTGACTGTTCCCCTCACTCTCTCACTCCAGAGGTCCATAATGGTGCGGAGGAATGAAGCTGATCTCCTCCCCACTCTACAGATTTTCCCCTTAATGTCCTCCTGTCTCAACAGAGGTAAAATCAGAAGGCTGCTGTCTGTATGGCTGCTCTCTGCAGACTGAGGGGGAGGAGGAATGGGGGGTGTTGGAGGAGAAGGCAGAGAGAGAGAGAGAGAGAGAGAGAGAGAGAGAGAGAGAGAGAGAGAGAGAGAGAGAGAGAGACCACTTTAATGACAATTCAATTTGCTAAAAAACATGAAGAAAATTCACTCTGGGCTACATCATGGCATCAGACAGGGTATCTAATTTAAAGTTGGTCGACCCATTCTGGGAACTTGGTGGTGCTTTATTGTTATTCAGTGTGTTTGAATTTTTCTTTATTGTTACAATAGGAATCTTACTGTATACCTTTAGAGAGGCTTTTATTTTCCCTTAAATGATGCCAGATTTGTAAAAAGATCCATTGGTTGTTTGAGCAGCATTGAGGAATGAAAATTTTAAAATGTTGGTCTTGTCATCATTTGTGGGGATCTCAGTGCAGAGAAATATCAAGAAGATAATGATATGATCACTCCCCTCCACAGAGCAGGGTTGTTGAAGAAATGTTTGTTTAAAAAAGAAAAAGTATTCAACAGCAGTCATCTCTTGTGTGCCAGTTATGGAGACACTTTTATTGATAGCCATCCTTTATCAAAGAATCTCCAAAGTTTTTTTAAAGCTTTTTCATTAACATTTCATTGTTCCATTTCTCTGGAACTTGTGCCAGGGTTGAAATGACCTGGATCCAAGTGATGGATTGAACTGTTTGAATTGCTTCACCATATGGACCACGAATGGCTGAACTGATCTTATCTTGATGGCTGTACCAAAAGCCAGAAGATAAATACAACAATCTCTCTATGATATAGGTTTTTTACTCTTCTGCATCACATAGGTTTTTAGTTGATTTGAAGTACTGGCACTTTGTTGATGCCAGTGCCATTTCTTCTTCTGTTTTTGCACAACGATGCTCATCGAGGACCACTGCCGCACCATTACAAGGGCTGTTCTGTATTCTAGAGCAGGGCCCCAAGCATTTCAAGGGTACCACCATTTTTGTCCAGGCCAGTTTCAAGAGTTTATTTTTATTTTTTTTATAATATTGTTAAAGCATGGTAAAAAAAACAACGTTGGATTTCTTCATTTTATTAGAATTTATATCCTTTATTTATTCTTCTTATTCTTTCTGTTACTATTTATAGTTTTTGCCTTATTAATCGAGAGGTACCAACTATTTTGCACGTTTGTATTTATTACTTTAAGCTATCAGTTGATATACAATTTTCAAAGAATTTAGGTATTTATAATTATTTGACTAAACTCATTAAGCAGCTTGTGTTGAATCAGCTGTGGCACTTTGCAGCTGCATCTGAGCTGCGCTGCAGCCCCCTGCTGGGCCTTGTCTACAGTTCTTTTTTATTTTGCATACCAAATGAAGCAGGCCAATTGACTTTTGCACTCCAGCTCTGCTTTACATTCATATCACCACCTGGAGTCTGAGCTTTAGAACAAAACACTCAAAAGTTATATCAAATTAAATATCCCAAAATAAAAAATTCTCACCAATTGAGAACAATTTCTCAACAGAGGATTTTAAAGAATATGGTCTGCCATTGGCATAATACATTCAGTGTTAAATAATCTATAATATAATATAGAAAAAAGGAGAACAGTTCCCTATTTATCTTTAAGTGGCACATGAGCCACATCCCAGTTTTAAAAAATGACAATCGAGTTTTATGTTAAAACAATAAAACATTTGAGATTTGTATTTGGGTTGATGTGTTTCATTAAATTTCAGATCTTATAAAACATAATAAGAACATAACGCAAACATGTTTTTTTTTTGGGATCTGACCAGACAGATTTGTTCTGAGCGGCACAGAAAAGATATAATATCACTGATTCAGAAATTCAAATCTTAATGCTCTTGTTTTGGTTTTGTGGGTCAGCCGGAGCACTGTTATAAGCCCAAACGGCTTCTGTGCTCTAAGTTTTTTGCGGTCAGTGTTCCAAATGTTTCTCACAAATAAAGTTATTTTATGCATCCTTACAGTTAAGCTCAGAAGCTTTTATTTGTCCCAGTATGGGCAATTATTGTGCAGTAGTAGTACACCTTTCACACACACATATATTCACATTTCATAAAATAAAAACACAAGAAACACATAAAATATTTTACAAAGATAAAAGTAAGGTGGATAAATAAATAAATATATGCAGGGGATGAATAAAAGTGTAGGCCTATATGCATGCATCATATGACTATCTGCTTTTCCTAGTAGAGTTTAACACCTGAACAGCAGAGGGAATAAAGGAATATGTCACAGTCTTGGTTATCCATTTGTTGTCCTCTGCTGCCCTCTTGTGTCCTCTTTCCCTAGCTCTGTGTTCTGCTCTGCCCTCACCTGTTTTCAATCCCCTCGTTAGCCCTCTCTTTGTCTCTGTCCCCTTTAAAAGCCCTCCCTCTTCAGTTCCTGTTTGCTGGATCCTCGTCTAACGTCTGTCTGCTTACCTCGTCTCTCCCTGGCTCCTAGAGTTTGGTTTTCCCCTGATGTCTCCTCGGTTCTGGTTTGTTTGTTATTTCTGTTGGATTTTTGATTCCTGCCTCAGTTCCTGTAAACCTCATTAAACCCATCTAAATTCACCTCTGCCTACAGTACTTGCCTCTGCATTTGGGTCTCAAACCAACACCAAATCCTGACAGAATGTTTGTACCTATTGGTCCGAGCTGGTGGATCTTTTAAAACGGGAACCAGAGGGTAGAAACTGGAATTCGCTATGTAGGCGATGGGTGTAATTATGCAAGATGGACTCAGCCTTTGTAATTACCTGGTCTTCATACATTTCAGTCATGTTTTTCTGTTGAACACCCGTGATCTTACTCCTTAATATTCCTGGATATGGCATTTTTTACATTAAGAAGAGCATACCAGCAAATGGCAGAAAAGGTAAGTAGGGACTCTATAAAAGATCTATAGAACATGGTCATCAGAGTCTTATCAACCTGAAACCTAGCTAACTATAATATTATTATACTTATATGATATAACTATTATATAAGTAAGCGCTGCTGTCCTTTCTTCCACAGCATGTCTGTCTTGCTGTTAAATGTTAAATTGTCATCTATAGTAGATCCAAGATGATTATATAGATATTTAATATTTTGGGTAATGTAAATATATTATATTTATTCATATTAACATTACCCAAAATATTATATCTCTTATGTTTATAAACAATTGAAGACAGCCGGTCGTAAAACATTAAACATATTAGGCTACGTATTAATTAGCTGCCTCCATAACAGTTATTTTTAGATTGAAAGATATAACTTGTGGAAAAAGTATTAGATTCTGGATCACAAATATTCTGTGTGTTACAATCACAGGCGTAACTTTCTGAAAGAGTGGTGTGGACATGTTCCCACCAACTTTGGCCTGGTGGGGAGAGTCCCCACCAATAATTTCAATACATAGACTTTGGCTCTCAACAATATGTGGGACAAATTTCTAAATTTGATTTTGCTGCTTTTGAAGGAGGATAATCACTGATGTAGCTGAAAAGGAAAACATCCATCAACAGATCAACATTTTTTCTGGAGGGATTGATGGATGGATGGTTGAATGAAACTGGGGAGGCATGATTTATTGCTGTTGGCATCGGAACTGGATGTTATTCATTTTTATTATTATTATATACATTATTATTTTTATATACATTAAGACTAACTACCAATAAATATAAATATCAGTGTATTTTGGTTCTTTTGTGTTCTCAACAATAGGAAAGCATTCAATAAATATATGTTTGAGCTCAGTTTTGGAAAACACAAACCCTATTGAAAGCGTTTGGTCGAGTAGGTTCATCAGCCCCTTACAGCGTCCCCACCAACTTTCATCACAAGGTTACTGTCATGTTGGGGTCGAGGCGTCTAACCCACATGCAGAAATCACTCTTGGAGCAGAGAAAAAGTTAAATGGTTTATTGAAACAAAGTTCACAAGCAAATGGGTGCACAGGTTCTTGGTTCGTCAGACTGGTCACGGGAGGGAAGCCACTGAGGAGGACAGAGCAGTTAGAGCGGATCCAGGAAACTTGTAATTTACAGATGACTGGGATAAATACCTGCTCAGAGAGGAATCTGATCAGCAGGGGGGGAACCTTGTGGGTCCGGAGGCTAGTCGGCAGGCAGAGGGCTGAGGGCAGAGGCAGAGACTGAGGCGGAGGGCAGGCAGGCAGATTCCAGACAGAGATTATTCTCTCCAGGATGACAGGTTTCCAGACAAGTCAGGATCTGTGAGGCAGAAGAACACAAGATCAGATTGGTTCACAAAAATCAGGGTTTCAGATCAGAGAAGCTGGCTCAGGTTTTGCTATACCAATACTGGCAAACACTCTGGCAGGGAAGTGTCAGCCTCCTCCTCCTTAAGTAGGGCCTCTTGATTAGCAGATGGGAAACAGGTGTCGCAGTCAGCTCATGCCCTCAGGAGAGATCTCGTGCGCCCTCTGGTGGAGAAAGTGGACAAAGCCTCCAGATCCCAACAGTTACACCCTTGATTACAATGCATTATATAAAGCTTTCAAATGTACCACTGTTTGGAGAACCGTGAGTATGTGAATTTTAAGACTACACCAACTTTGTTACGGGTGTGACGGATAGCGTTGGCCTTGAAAGTAATTGCACATAGAGTTACAATTGTTCACAGCTGAAGCACAAAAATAATAACATATCAATCTGGCTCCATGATACTTGTGATGATAAAGGAAGGTTCTGAAATCAGAGAGGAGTATCCGGGTTGGTAGAGGTATGCATTGTGTGAGACAACTAAGGAGTTTACACTATGTATCTTTAAAAATATGAGGTGACTTACAATGTTTTACACTGCCTTGAAGATTTTAAGCGAAAGAGATAGGTTTTTATGCAGTCTCATGGATATATATCCATTTTATAAATAAATGTCTTGACTGTAATCTCTAACTCCTGTATATTTGTGATTCTGTCAACCGAATGAATCCG